GATAGATAGATAGATAGATAGATAGATAGATAGATAGATAGATAGATGAATAGATGAATAGATAGAATAGATAAAAAGGTAGAATAGAATAGAATAGAATAGAATAGAATAGAATAGAATAGAATAGAATAGAATAGAATAGATCAAGGGTCTTCAAACTTGGCAAGTTTAAGACTTGTTGAGCTTTAACTCCCAGAATTCCTGAGCTAACATGACTGGAGGAGGAATTCTGGGAGTTGAGGTCCACAAGTCTTAAAAGCTGTCCAAGTTCGAAGACCCCTGATTTGGAGACCCTGGCCCTAAGTTATAGAAAAGTCATTTTGACTTCGGAAATGCACTTCCCAACTTAAGCACCCCCAGCTGGGAAAGTCCCTCTGGAGGGTTTTCTATCTTTATATATATATTATATATATATATATAACAAAAGCAGGATAATATATATATATTATCCTGCTTTTGTTATTCTTACAATTAACTCAGGGGGAAAAACATTGCTAACTCACTGTTTCCTGGTGATGGACCCAAGGCAGAACTAGAACTCACTGTCTCCTAGCAATTGGTCCAAAGTCACCCAGCTAGCTATCATGCTTAAGGTGGACCTAGAACTCACCATCTCCTGATGAGGGACCCAAAGTCACCCAGCTGAAGACAGAACTAGAACTCTTTGTCTCCTGGTGATGGACCCAAAGTCACCCAGCTGGCTATCATGCTTAAGGTGGACCTAGAACTCACGGTCTCCTGGTGATGGGCCCAGCCAGCTGTCATGCCTTAATGCAGAATTAGAACTTACCACCTCCCGGTTCTAACCTGGAGCCTTCCCCACGAGACCAGACTGCCTCTCCTTTGAACTTCATTAAAACGCCAGGCGTTTCTGCCGCTTCTTCCTCTCTCCCCCTTCCGCTGATCGACTTTGGGCCTCAGTTCCCTATCAGCGAAATGGGAATATTAGCCCCGCCCCCCCCAAATCTTCCTCCACCAGCGACTCTTTCTTTTTTAAAAAAAAGGGCTGCAATGTTAAAAGTGTTCTCTGTGCATGGTAAATTCTAAGTAAATATTGCCCGTAGCCAGAGGAAAGACGTGTGTGCGTGTGCATGTGTGTGTGTGTGTGTCTGTTTCCATTTCCACACCTCCTTCTCTACCCCCCTAGTTTTGTATCTCATTTTCACATTATCATCAAGTCGCCCACCCCCCTCTCTGGGACCCCCCCCTTTTTCGAGGGCTATTTTGACAGCTTCTGTCAGCTGCCTGCCATCACCTCCTTATTGGCTGCGGGCACCTCTGGCATCGTGCTGAATGCAATTAGAATCTGATTAACAGCAGAGAAGCGCAAGCAAAGGGGTCTCTCTCTCTTTCTCTCCCTCTCTTTGCACCCCTCCCTCTATAAAGAACCAAAAAAAAAAAAAAAGAAAGAACCACAGTAAAAATATTCTCTTTCCACTAAACTGTTTTGCTGGCCGGCGGGATTGTTTGCATTCCGCCAAGTCTCGGGGCCAACGGAGGAGCAAAACGCTTTGCTTGCCAATAATAAGCTTAATTTAAAAAAAAAAAGAAAGAAAGAAAAAATCATACTCGGATAGAAATACAGCCCGCGACTTTTTCAACAGCTCCTCAGCTGCCGGAAGACGGTTTTCTTCTAAAGCTGTATTTTTGCAACTCAGGCAGGCCTTCCTTGCACCCTCCCCAAAACTCTGGCCGTCGTATGAACGGGGGCACCCAAGAACAGGGGTCCCGACCTCCGGACGTGACATGCCAGAAACTGGGCCGCGCAAGAACAGTGGGATGCAGGCAGCATGGGGAACCGTGCCCCCTTCCGGTCCACGGAACAACCGTCTCTCCATGGAACCGGTCCCTAGTTCCCCAAAAGTTGGGGGCTGCTGCCCTAGAAGGCAATAGTAGCATTAGTTAGATTTGTATACCGCTTCACGGTGCTTTCCAGCCCTCGCTAAGCGGTTTACAAAGTCAGCCTCTTGCCCGCAACAATCTGGGTCCTCATTTTACCCACCT